TTCATCAAAATCCAATGAGTGGTTCTTCAGATATCAGTGGAACAGTCTTGGAACAGCTAAAAATCAGCTAATTATCATGCAAATTAGGTAATTAATATTCATAGATTTTTACCAAAACCTAATCAACTCTTGCGCATCATCCCAGAGCATCTATGTACCAAGTTTCACGAAAATTTGATTAGTGGTTCTTGAGATAACGGTGGAACAAAAAAAGTGACATACATACAAACATACATACATACATACATACATACAGACATACAGACATACAGACAGGGTAACTGCAAAGACTCCCTTTTGTGCTTCGCACACGGGAGTCAAAAACATAAATTTGTAGACATGGGCAAGGTGAAAAATGTAATCAGCTATTTTATTCATTCGTAATTTGTACAAAGAACTAATTTTTCGTGAGCGTATAAAGCATTTTCCAGATTAAATGTTGCAATTCGTATGCAATTTTGATTCTTAAACACAAATTATCAAATATATTATAAAACTGTAAAATTTTATTAGGAATTTGCTTTATTTTTAAAGTGAAAAAAACAATTTTTTACTGTAAAGGAACTTTCAATTTATTTCCTGTAAGACCGTAAAATGTTTTTTTTATTTCTTTGTAACCTGTACCAACTATCCCCCCTTGCCCCCCCCCCCCCCCTCTTCAAATGACAACAGATAATACTTGTTACTACAAAATACAGGGGTAAAATGTGAAGAATAATGTCCCTCATCCTATGCTTGAGCAATGCACAACATTTACTACGGTATATTGCAAACATGCATTGTCACAAATATATAAATCTTCTCGGTATTTATTGGTAAGAGCACAATCTATACAAATACTGATATACACCAATATGAAAAAATATAAAAGGATATTTCTTGTAATAATTTGGTCAGACATCTGCTGGAATCTGTCTTGCATTTGTTGTAAAAGCTGCTGTACCTGAGGAGATAAAAATATATATATTGGAAAAAGATTTTTTTGTTTGGGTCATTCTGGCAATGCAACAGACTGTAAAGAATATGGTTGATCTCGATCATTCAGATGAAATATATTCATTCAGTATACAATTTGTTGCCAGCCATTTGAATAGAATACAGGAAGAATTTGACTTGCATTGTGTCATTAATTTTATGGTCATGATCTTTAATATCACCAAGAACCTGAGAACAAACAATGCTCTATTGGTTCTTATAAAGAAACCTGGCTATCTGCCAAAATGACTAGCAGTCAGTTTTGTTCAGGCCCAGACCATACTATAGAAACTACATTGACAAAAATTTCACAGGGAGTAATCTTATGATTCTTCATCATTATCCAACACACACTTAACAACCTGCACAACAGATTCACATCCACTCAATACTGTTAATGTTTTCTTCAATCTTTTATCCCAGCAATAGCTGGTCTCTTGGCCTTTCACCAGTAACAATTATGAAACATATTATCTTCCAAGTTGAGGTGCATGAAGCAATTATTAATTTCATTTAATAAATATAAAATGATTGCTATTGAAGAACCAATGCCTTTTAATTAATCTCAAGGCTCCATAATTCGGGTAAAAACTTTAATGCCAGATAACTTGATTAACCGTTATAAAAGCATGCTAATTAAAAACAAAATTACTGAAAACATAAAAGTTACCGAGGTCTCTTGACATAGAAATTAAACCAAACAGAGAAGTTTTATAACTGACATTAGGATCAAGTTAATAAATGGCAGCTTTGTTGTCATTTCCGTAGCAACAGTTACTGCATTTCTCGTCATGGCGATTGATCTACCCCGGTCATAGTCAGTGACCATTGAAATATAGACAATACTTTACACGTCAAGCAATAAACTTAAAAAGACAACAATGCCCATCAATGCACGTCGAGATTACTGGTACTTTGATTTTCATGGCATTGTATTATATCTAATTGAATACTGCGGGAACCTCTATTTCACACAGTAAGAATAACAGGGCATGCCATTATAGACCTCTAGGGATTAGAGTCCGGGAACTAGAATTTAAGATTTGACCCGAAGATTTTTTTTAAATTAGTTTAAATATTGAAGCTGTCGAATTTGTGTAGATACACAAAGTTAGCAAATGTGAATTTCCTCTTATAGACAGATATGACGTATTAGAATAGGTTTGCTAAGACATAAGGGTCCAAAGATCACTGTGGAAATTAGCAAAATAAGTCTAAACTTGTTTTTTATGGTTGCCGAGAAACCCCGAGCGTCTCAAACTGTTTTCATTAATCTTGTTTCAAAATGCCGTACCCGCAATCGATACTTCTGCAAAATAGTAGAGACCCAGTATGAGTCAGAGATACTGAATTAGTCCGGATCGATAGAACAGCTGTTTTGCCGTGTTTGGACCACAGCCCGGTGAGTCAGCCAGAGACCCCCGGCAGAGATTCAACACTAGTAACTGACTATGTGCTGACCAAAACACACGGAAATCTACAAAAAACTAATTACTTACGAACTGAGTCAGGTCTTGTACATTTTTGGGATCAGCACTGCTGGTCATAAGATCGGTTCTAACGTCAGTCATTGTCAAATTTGATGTTAATGTTCAGAGATGAGAGAGATTATATTGCGACCGTACTGGCTGTAGACGTTGCTCCGAGTGTTCCCCTACTAACAAAAATTTGCGAACCGACGCCGTGGTTATGCGCATGCACTGTGACCTTTAATGTAATGCGCATGCGCAGAATACCAAAACAAAATAGCCGACGTGAATTTTTGCGTGTAATAGGTAACAAATGTTTTATGAAAAATTAGCAGAACTATGAGATTCAGTAATACAGCGTGAGAGATAGTCTGAAGTCGTCCGTCAAACGGACTGTGTATGGGACCTTCGACACTTGTATTGGTTTTTTGCTAATATGGCATCTCCGAGTTCAAGTTCAAGACATACACAGCACCTGAAATCCTATTTACAGTCACATAAAAGTGCATCAAAAAATATCAGTTATAATGACAAAAAGCTTTTAACGTCTCCATCAAAAGGAGTGAATAGGTGAGATTATTTTTTTATAGATAGTTATTTTATTTGACACAACATTTTGTATGATTAATGAAGGAAAACTTACCAGAAACCAATGATCAAGAATACTATTCAGATTCTAAATACAGCCAAAACTTGAAGCTCGAAAAATAAAATAAATATATTGTCTCAAGCAATTGACAATAATGCTATCTCTAGTGCTAGAAAGCACTTACATTTTTCAAGAGTTGATAACTTACAAATGTTGTCATCATAAATTGCCAATTCACTTTTATCAACTTCAAATTTAGTGCAAGTAAAACATGATAATTACCAATAGTAGTAGTAGTTCAAAAATTTTCTATGAGTTCTACAGGACTGATATATTGCTGTGTATACTGACCAATGCAATAAAGAACACCTTATTAAACCATGTGATTCCTACAGATTGTTTGAACTCGCAGTATTCTCCAAAAGGACCAACATGTTCTGCCACAGAAATTTTGCACACTTTGTTGTAAATCATTTAGCAATTGCTGTAAAAAAATATTAACTAGACTGATCTGTTTGAAGTTTAGTGCCTATATAATAAATTATGTTTGTGGTTGTCGCATTAGACTCAAGATCGGTAGACCTAAGTTCAAATCCTACCTTAGGCTGAACATCAAAGGGTCGACCCCTACCCTGGGTGAGTGTGCCACAGACTCAATGGGAAGGCCAATTCCACTGGTCAAGATTCATTCACTAACGAATGCGACTTTGGGGGAACCTTTGTTAAGGTTCGCAGGTGCTTGTGATCGACCGAGCCTGGTTGACGCCAGGATAGCGCATTAAAAAAAATGCCATTTGACAGAGAGATGGCCACACAGCCCTGTCATGTAGTCCCAAACATGAATATGACTTTTGTGGCAAAATACACTATGTGTCAGCATTAGCACTTGCAATCTGCACATACAAAAAAAATGTCAGGAGAGACAACAGTGACACTCAATGTCCAGAACTGTCGCCTGGCACGAAAAATATTTAAAAAAATACATAAATAAATTATGTTTGTTTAGTGTATATGCACTTAAAGAACTAAAGCAGTGTGACATTTATTTTGTCCACACCAGACACTTTGTTACAATTGATGCTTACAATATCATAGGGAGATATCATTCTTGTTTGCTTGTTTAATAGTAAATTGTGTGTTCACTTCTAGGTCATTAGTAGAAAAGTCCCCATCTACTAAACCAAGTGGTGGTGCTGGGTTGTCTACGAAACCCAAAACATACAACGCATCATCGCCTGTACGTGTTATACGAAAATTGCCAGTGACAGCAAGTCATTTCAGACGCAAAGTAAATATAGAAAGGCAAGTATACATTTATTACCACTCAATCCTTTGGATTGCTCCAAGTGCTCATGGGTAATTAATTAACTCCGCCTCTGTCCACTGAGTAAATGAATGCTTATCTTTCCCCCTGTACCGCTAATCCCACAAAACAACAACTGATATAAACATACTAAGAACGGATTACAATTTACTTGTTTAAATATAACATAGCAATTGAATTTCAAACAAATACAGAGCAGTCTTCATGTGTTATGAATTGAAACATCGCATGCTCCGTAATTTATACATCGTCGGAAAAATATGACGCGGAACTAATTCAAGTTGATAATGGCCAACAAGAAAAGGCAGCAGTCCACCGGATACACACAACCAGATTGTTGCTAAATGATCTCAAAGAAAATCCGCCGACTCAAGTTTATTTGTCTGTTCTCGTTGCGTCGGTCTATTGACGGTACTGATCTCGTATACAGTAAACCTGAGAACGAAACTTCCTATGCACATTCTGTATAAATACTACTCCTCCAGACTGCTAATATAACAAGTGTGAAAACACAAAGTCAAAGACTTCGGTTTTCATATTTCCGTAACAAATTTACTATTACCCTCAAATTTCCATATAATATTGACTAATTGGTAAAGGCGACAATAAAAAAGTGTACTGTATATTATAAGTACAAGTTATTACACGGAAATATCAAAATCATTAGTAAAGAAAAGTCACCGCGACATCACAGGCTTATCTTGTAACCTGTTTACGACACTCGTGTGGAAAATCAAAATGTACAGCCTTGTCTTCCGTGAAGCCTAACCCGTATGTACACGGGTGGTACCGGCTTGTATCTCGTGTGAGATTTGAGTTCTTGTGATCTGGTGGGTGAACGTCGGGTTGACTTTACAATCAAAATCAAATGAGCGGTGAGGGGGAGAAGAGCGTTCTGTCAAAACAATTTTACCGTGGACTCAATTTTAACGACCAATCTGCAGCGTTGTATTTATTATAAAATCGACGTTGTTACAACCCTGCGTTACAACCAACAGGCAAAGCTGGCTGGGTGACGGTCAAAGTCTGTGCAACAACAACGCTGTCAGATGTGGATTGTATAAAAAACACTGGACAATGTGTGATAGACGCAATGCATGGAAAGATGGGTGATACCTCCAGCGTAAACAAAACCTGATGCAAGTTGAAGGCATAAACGAAAACGATCTATTGTAAAAATTATGAATTGGAACTGCCTGTGACGTGTTGTCTGGGCGCTGTTTCGTCCTACAGTCAAATACAGAAACAAAAACTGATTTATTTTTTTATGCCAAGACCTGGCTGTTCATGCATTTCAAGCATGGCGTATTTACTTCTTGTACTCTGTAATGTGTGCTGTGGAAACATCTGATTTCGCGGTTTTGAGCTGTTGAAGTATTCGGGAAAAATAAAACAAAGGGTAACACCATACGAAGCAGTCAGCCCAATGTCTTGTTGATATCCGAAACTTGGAACCTCTAACAGAACGGTTATTTCCTGTACGCCTACCAGTATTACACAACTACCATTTGCAGCTCATTGCAGTCTGACTCTTATTCACTGTACCCCTTCCTTTTTCCAGACTGTCTAGAAAGTTGTACAAAAAGTCATCCATTAGAAAACACAAGTCTTTGCCGTACGATCAAACGAAAAATTTCCATATAGTAGTAACCAACATCGTTCTGGCGTTCCTAAAAATAAATTTAAAAAAAAACGAACACTGCATTGCTTAGTAGCAAATAATCACGGTAACTCAATCCGATCATGCTGCGTTTCACAATTATTATTATTACTTGGTAGTGATTATTAATAAAGTAAAAAAAGTAAATTCGTTGAATTGTTCTGAAATGCAGGTAAATTTCAATTTCAATACTCGGTGATGCCAATGTGTTCAAATACCAACATGGAGAAAAATTGCTGATGTTCCAGCACGATCTTTTACCTCTGGTTTTGATGGAAAGACGGCACTTTTTAAATCAAAAAATTAGTTGTTTTCGATGATAAACTGACCATTTGAAGACTAATTTAACATTTTTACGGTGATAACAGCTCATTGTCGAAGCGAAGCTTTACCTGTTCACGCTAACCACAATAAACATCGTACTCTTGAATAGGCGTCAATGACTACGGTAAAATTCGTAAGATTGTGGGTCAGGAGTGAGTGTTGTTTTGACTTGGGTATTGTGTTTTACATTCCAACAGGAAATTTTAATTGAAAGCCCGTAACCTAATGTTAATGACATTATTTACTGTCTTACATTGTCATGTCCCAGTGTTACCGATGGTTAGACATAGAAAACTACGTAACAATAATGCTGTTTGCCGGGGCTGTTTGTAAACCAACAAGCTTTGTAGATTGAATAAACATCTAGGGGATTTACATTTTTGTTTACTCAAACTGTGATTGACAGGCATTTTGCATACATTAGCCACCATTTTAAACTCGTGATTTTCACTGGTCGCGGCACGTTTCGACCGAAAATAACAACATTTATACATCAAAAACCCAACCAGATGAGTAATCGCTAGCGTACATATTCATGCCCCTGTGGATATGTATTTGGAACCATAGCTTGATCTCCAAACATAGTAAATGGCACATTTCACGGAGCTCCCGCCACGATGTTAGCAGCTTGGTTCGGATTAGCATACTAATACGATGGCCATCTTGACCCTTATTTATAGTATCGGTTCCCCTTTAACGCTCACTGTCTCTGCATTGTGGTTGGTGAATTTGCATCTCTATGGATACAACATCATCTACTGCATCACTTCTTATAAAGTGTAGTATTAAGTATACCACATCTTGAATTTTCAAGGTGAATGTTCCTGCGAAGCACTCCACTATCACCTTGAAGTATTTCATTAGGAATATGTGTATGTGACAATGCCCTCACAGTTTAGAATCAGTTTACCAACAGCCAATCATATTGCTTCTTTCATCAACGCGATTGGCCAAGCTATCAACATTGTCGGGGCGGAGCTAAGTCACAAGACGTTATGAAAGACGCGCAGCACTCTACCATGTATTTCTATGGGCTCTGCGCGAGCTGCTGTGGAACGCCGGTCGAAAAGCCATTGAAAATAGCTAAAATCGAAAAAACAGCACACACTTAACTTTAAAGAAATCCTAAACAACCAAATTTAAATATATTGCATATGCAGGGATAATATTGTTACACGGTTCAGGGGGTGTCAACAACCATCCCAAAGTACCGTTTTCTGAGAGTTTTTGGCCTTTGTTTTCACCATGATGGTTGCCAAGCGGTGAAAATGCTCGCTCAGTGGAAGCTGTGTTGGCTTGGATGTCGAGGCAATACAATATTCGGACAAAAGCCGTTCAGGGTACTTACTTCCGAGTCTGATGTGTTCGTGTTTAGTCGCACTGGAAATGGTAAATCATTATGTTATTATGTTTCACCAGCCTTGCGACCATCGAGCGTTGTAATAGTGTTGAGCCACTGTTGAGTATTATAGAAGAGTAGGTGTTGTACCTCAAAGCTCATGGTGTCACTGCAACATGTATTGACAGAAATGAAGCCGAAGATGAAGACATCAGAAATGCAAAGCCCCAAGCGCTTTTTGGTAGTGATTGTAACAAAGCTTTCTATTGGTCGGTAAACTTTCTATCGCGCAACCACGTGACATACACGATTATGAATAGAATTACCGCACGGTGTTGTGGAGGGAGGAATGTTCAAACGGAGCAACACCGTGCAAGCGGACGATGGTATACCATAGCACTGATCACAAGTGATGTAGACAAAAAGAAAAATAAGAATTATGTTGGTTCTCAGTTCAATGATATTTTATCACATGACCAACTATAAGCGCCAAAAAGATATCGTAATCATAATTTTTTTAAACCATGCATGCAAATTGTGATGTTGTCCAAGCACATCAGTAGATGTACATTTGCAGTTAATATTAGTGATGATTATCCATAATCAGCAGAAATATCACTTACTATCCTTATCTTTTTGAAATAAACATTCAGTTGATATTATAATTATAAGTTAGTGTCATTGTACCAATTGAATACCTGTTATTCAGTCTGAAGTTGTTGTTTTGCTGCTATTTGTCTTTCCATGTACAGTTTGAACACGTATACAATGATGACGTTTAACGTCATGATAATACCATATTAGCATATGATATTTCACACCAACCATCACAACTATGAATCCTATTTTCCATAATAATGGATAATGCGTAAATGGTATGCCATCACATTATTACAAAATTATGATTTTAAGTATTTTACAAGCACATCATCACTTGCTATTATTTTATCATTTGCAGTCTACCAAGTGAGATTATTTTGAAGATCTTTACTTACCTTGGACCAAATGATTTATTGATATGTGCCAGTGTTTGTAAGCAGTGGTTGAAATTAGCCAATGATAAGTAAGTACAATTTAAATATTATCCATCAACCTTTTCACCAAGGCTTTCTCACCAAAATTTTTCTGCTCTTTTTTTCTTATTTTATCCAATATTTCTGGAAATGAACCCTAATTTTGTAGTCAACAGACAAAATTTGAGTCAATTTTCAGTTTTTACTCGAAAATTTGGCTATTCTGTGTGCGGACAAATATGTATATGTGCCAAGTATTGTATACTGTTTAATTTTTGCTGATATAAATTTTCATGATAGTCTCTGACACTGACTTGATTGCTGATTTAGGATCCAAAATGAAATGTGCAATGCTAAACAATTTTGTGGTTCCCTTACCCAGAATCACAAAATGCGCTACAACTTGTCTCATCAAAAATTAAAGGAAAAAACGATTCAGTTTAAAGACGTTATAAAACATTTGATATAAATAATATTGATGCCTTTGGCAATGAACAAATGTTTACTTATACTCACATATATGAAGTGTATTCACTCTATTAGTAGTACATACACTCATGTTAATTACTGAGGTTCATTTTAATGAACCAAACCTTTTGGTTTATATGTGCTTCTATTAATTTATGCTTTTAATAGAACAAATACTGTATCTATAGTTTGTTTACTGTTGGGGAGCAGGGTCTACTTGCATTTTGAAAGAATTCTTAGATTAATCAATATGTTTTATGATGCATTTCAGCTCACTATGGAGAAAGTTATATGAAGCTTACATTGTCACTGGCAAAAAGAAGAAAACAGAAACACAGAGTGTTACAAAAGCTAGCGGTGGTGGTGATCATCATATCATACAGTGGAAAAGAGATTGTATTAGAAAGTGAGATTTTTATAATGAATGATTGTAGTGTTTACAAGCTGGAGTTGTAATCAGATTTAGTCTGGGGTATAGCTTTCTGTGGTAGTGAAATACTAGAATGGGAAAGTTGTTTAATTTAATATGTAGGTCAAAGGTTATATTACTTTCTGTGCAGTGAAATACTAGAATGAAAAGATTGTATGTTTAATTACAAATATGTAGGTCGAAAGTTTTATTAAATGTGGGTCGAGGGTTAAATACAAAATTAATGTAGAATACAGTACCATAACCTTCTGACATTTTGTGTTTTTTTTCCATCAAGTAATATAACTTCAACTTAATTTTCTGAACAACCTGACATATCTTGTCTTAGCATAGATCAGTCACCAGCAATTAATATAAATTTAATTCAGCCTTACTAGTATTCTTTGAACAGGGTTAATAATATAGCATGTGATTATGGCTTGAATAACAAAATTTTTTTTGCCAAAATAATAATGCAAAATTTTCTGTAAAATGTGTTTCACATTGTGTAAAGGTGACAGGTTGACTTTGGCATTATTACCATGTATGTCAAAACAAGACAGTGCAGTCATAAAAACTGGCACTTAAACTTTGATTAATATATATCAGCAAAACTAATCTGAGTGAGTTTTCAAGATCCTATTCTCAAAATAACTTGTTTTTACTAATGGACAGACACTAAAACTAATAACTGTGATAAACATTATCCCAAGTACTGATATCCCAAATATAGCGCTCCATATCAAATAATATAGTTGCATTTTATCATATTTTACAAATTAATTAAATTAGTAATTCTTCATAGCTGCTCATCTGTGAAATTTCTAAAAATGTTAGTAAAATTATATAGCTTTTCTTTAATCACTATGCTAAAAACTTGATACAGAAATAAGATTGATTAAATAAGTGCAGAATTATATAGATGCATATTTGTCATTCTTGGAAGTGGAATAATAAAATGTGGACTTACAATTAATTACATTTTGAGTATGTGCAGTATGTACACATACATTTTAGTTAACATATATGATTACAATGTCATAGTTCAAAATTATACATACAATTACAAGGTCAAAGTTTTAGTTGTATTATGATTATGTGGTCATTTCTTTTATTTAATTTTGGACAAAACAGACATAATTTTCTATTATTTACAGGTCTTGATCAAACTGTTTGAATAAATATGGAAAACATTTAATATGTAGGACAATTTAATGAAGGTTACTTATGAAAGAGTCATTATAGCTCTGTATTGTTGTTTTCTCAGATGTGTCAACATTCGTAATGGTAGAATCCAGGCATTGTTGAAGAAACTGAGTCCCTATACTGGTCTACCAGTAAATACACAACAAGCATTAGAGTAAGTAATATTACAGTTGATTGTAGGTAAATATTTATATTTTATCAGTCTTTTGTCTGAAGATGGCATTGTAAACTGAGAACAGACTTCTCAAGGTAGAGTGAACCAAGTGAGTATTGGTCACCAAATCCGGGAGGAGAATAACGCACTGGAGAGAAGCACTTGTATCCAAGATGTTTATTGCTCAACTGCTAGGCCTGGAACTGAGTCTAAATACTGTGGAATACTTTATTTTCGCTGGAATTAATTTTCGCTGAAAAGGCTTTTTGGGTGTTTTGCTTGGAATTTATTTTCACTGATTTTTCATGAGTTTAATGTGAAATATAGGAAAAAAAGTATATTCACTGGATTTTATTTTCACGGAATCATCCCTTCAGCGAAAATAGTGAAAATAAATTCCAAGCGAAAATAAAGTATTCTACAGTACTCGAGATGTTCCATGACAATGTATCAATATTATTATGCAAATAACTAAACTAAGTTTCATAGCCTCAAATCATTACAGGCATACAGTGTCTAAATCAAATGTTGACTGTAGACAACGAATGAACTCTCCAGATAATATGATTGCACTGATATGATTGTTACAAATTTTACAGTAGCTTTTGCCACTGTAAATGTTTGTGATGTGATCAGCTGGAGACATTGACAACTTCAAAGTCATTGTTACTTTCTGTTTAGACTTAACAAAATGTTTTTTGTAAATTTGTTTTTTAAAATGACATGTGCGGCCTTGTTTTATTTTGATTTCGATTTTGAAATTGAAGCTTTCAATCACTCTGGAGTCTCAAGTCTTCAAACATTCTAATATGCCTTCAAATACTGTACATTAATTTGTTTTACAGAAAGCTTGGTATTAAATGGCAGCTAGTGGTGACAGATACAAGTGGTAGTGAACATGTTATAGCACACAATGACAGGTTTTGTTTTCCACTCTCTACCACTGTAAGATGGTACAGTCTTGAATCGCTGCCGCTCAAGAGAATTAAAAGACTGTCTATTTATGGACTAGCTCCCGTGTTTTATGGTAACAATGGAAATGCTTTAACAAACAGGTAATTTGAAGTTAATAACATAGTGCATACCCATAATGTAATATGCATGTTAGTTATTAATGATTGAACAGGAAACTGCTCAGTTCAG